CGACCCGCACACCAGCCACCAACTGAGTAGCGCACAAGCGGGCAACTGTCCTCCATATGGAGGAGACGTTATTTGTCATAAGTATTCAGTAGCATAATGACTGTATCCTACAAATACTACAACTTCCCGTGTATGAATCTCTTTCTGTTTCGGTTTTTGAGGATAGATCCGCGACGGAATCCGAAACGCCAGGCGAATAAGGTTCTTTTCCCAAAGATCGCATCTGTTTCTTCTAAATTACTTCCTGGACTCACATTTTCGCTTATATTGGTGGACAAATGTTTTCTCGACCATCACTGCGCGGATTTTAAACTGGCAACAAAGCAGATGCCTACCAGGTGTAACCTGTACCCCGACAAAAGAATCTTCTAAAATATACCTTTCCTTCATTTCAGTTGGCGGAAAGTCGCTTGGTCTACACAAAATCAACGGAACTGACATGCCCGTAGTCGTGATTGTCCTCCTCATCTCCACTTGTCTCGCAATCACAATCTTTGTCACATCACACTGGGACCGACCTCCGGCACCCTATCACCGACCCTTCTTCGCAACCCTTGGCTTCCTTACCTCCGTGATTTGGATCTATGCCATTGCTCACGAACTGGTGAACTCACTGGAGACTCTTGGCATCGTCTGGGAGATCAGTGAGGCCATACTGGGCATTAGCGTCATGGCTTTGGCCAGTTCGATTGGCGGTAAGTTCTTCATTTTCAAAACCGTAAATGCTCATATGTTAGTGTGTATTTCTCGGTATTCCTCGAATGTGGTCTGTGTACATTAATGCAAATGCACCATAAGCTGTGAGTTAGCCCTGCGTTTTTTACCAAAACGGGCTTCCGTTGGTGTACGATTTTCAAATGAGAGTCCAGTCCTATGGAAAATATTTACTCCCTTTACCTAAATGTAATTAATCCAGTGTTTAGAGCTCTCAAAGCCAACTACTTATAAACTTTCCCTCCTCAAATAACACAGGTGGCCTTGATAATAATTCCAGAAAGCGCAAATAGCCAGTGGTCCTTAACATAACCCTTGCATTAGCCCTGCCCCAAATCATCAGTCTAGCTCTAACTTTAACAGTAAGTGGCACTAATTGCCCCGGAAGCTAATGCAAGGACCCCTGACAGGGAGATTCCTAGTCCCTTAACTACGCACTTAATTCCATCAGTCCATCTATCAACTCCAAAGCTGTGCTCTGGACTTCCCGCCACACGACGGCTTTTTGGTCTCGAAGACTGCACAGCATTGCACAACACACATCCTGCGCTTGCAGGTCCTGAAGGCGTGTCCATAAACTTGGACTTGAGGCGTATATGTTCTATGCACATCATCCGTATGGGTTTCAGATCAGTGGACATTGAAACCGGCAAGGCAATTAGCCCATGATGCAGAGGTTAGAGAGTTGGACGGGTCGCGGGTTCAAACCTCAGTTGCCGTAATACCTGGGGTTTGCTATGGCTGGCTGATGACGCCTAATAGGCCAGCAACGGCCATTCCAGTCTCCCTTGTCTGCTCAATATAGAGATCATCCTCTCAGGCTTGTCTCTTTATGATCAACCGACGTAAGCGGGATGATGAACCTGATGCTCCACGTAACTTCACGTTCTTCAGCATTCGGTCCAAAAAGAAACCTGAAAAAGCTAACTTGGGGCTCATTTTGTAGCCTAACTAACTTGCCGAGGAGTTTGTCTATTCGTGTTCGCAGCACAAGACAATTACGTACGAGTTTCGCAGCAACACCGTAGTGGACAATAAACAGCAGACGAAAAATGGTTACTTTCCATGACTCGAGGAACTTAAAAAAGTCCAATTTACCACGAGAAGTTACCCCGAATCACTAATATGACCGACTAGACGATTTAAATAGGCAAGGAATCCGCCCGCCTGTGGAATTTTTGGTGTGGATTAAGGAAGTCTTGGGTGGATATTTTATCAGAACGTTAAGGCCGTGCAGCAGGGCATGGTGAAGCCTGGGGAAACTGTGCTGTCAGTTAAGGATGACAAGCGTCAGCACATCCTTCTGGCCTTCATCTCGTCGTATGCACTCCGCCCAAACATTCTGCACGAAAACCGTCCTCTCGCATCTTCTTCCTCATTGGTCCAGATAAACTCTGTTTATGAGGTCTGGATACGACTGGAACTCGAGATTTCACAGTTTGTCAGGCCTCAGCAATCAAGGGCGCACAGAATCTCAAGACGTTTGGTCCGTTTCTCGGCTCTGCTGGTTATTATTATGGAACAGCGATTGTTATTCTCTGCGTGGCCGTTCGCATTGATTATAGACCCTGAGTTAAGGAGCAAAGGTTGGGATACTCAGGTCCATTCTGAAATAAAAATAGATCGATTGACACCAATCCGATCTGATTTTAACCGGAACCCATATCAGCGGACAGGACTTCAGCAGGTGATTCAAGTCAGGGATCCATGGATCGAAAAAAAAATAAATGCTCACAAATACACTGGACTCGGTTTTAGAGCCCAGGGTGCGTTAACATTCCGAATGGTCAGTGTCCTTCGTGCTTATGGATAACATGTGAACTTTTTGACAGGTTCAAGAAAGTTGGACTTGAAATTAATGTGCGTGTAGGGCCAATTACCCATCGGTCTCCCGAGGTAGCGATCATTCACAACATTTCTTTGGGCAACCTTGAGCGACTGTTTGCTTTAACTGTTGAAAACTTTAATGTAGAGCCAACTGTAGAAATGGAGCCCGACGTCTGCTGCATGAAATTCCCTAACATTTTGGTTATGTGGCGGAAAAGATACCCAAAACCTCATCGAGCACAACAGTCAGCAACAGGACAGTCAGACACCTCTTACGTCAGACTGGCGATAATACCCATGAGTTGTGTGAAGCAGCAGCAGTAGTAGTATGCGTACTGGGTGCTCTAGTTTGTGCTCTTTTCTCTCCTAGTTGTTATTATAGTGATCCATTTTACGTAAAACAAAATCGTCTTACTATGAGGAGCACTGTATCGGATAGTCAGGTTTTGCCTTCTTAATCTGGTAAGAGCTATTGGATAACGTTATTGACTTTCTGAGATTATTAAAAAAACCACAAAACCTGCGATTTATTCAGCCTCAACAGTTTCCCCAACATTGTTCCAATGGGATTGAACTTCTGCCTCTCGTGCATATAATGTCGTGGAAACTGATAAAACTCCCAATTTTGGAAAACTGAAGCAAAAACTTACCCCGTTTGACTACTATTCTCTCTTTTTCGAAAGATTAATTAATTGACGCATGGGTTTGTCTTTCCATACAATGACCTATTAAATAACTTTTTGCTATATGTCTTTTTTAAATGACAAGTGTCGGTTTCAGTGACCCCACTATTTAACCGCTCTGTTGATTGGGATGTTACTTTTTGCTGTCTGTATTCCGTCTTTTCCCAACCTGTCCGCGCCGGCTTTGAAGTCAGTTTTCTTCTAGAGAATCCACTTAGGTCGGTTTGTAATATTCCACTGCCTGCGTATGCAATAAGCGTGGTAAACAATCGGCTTCTTTCGCGTGCTTCGACCAACGCATGTCGTACGTTGTTTATCCAATGAAATTAATGTTACCCTGTGCAAATTTTAGGAAGCACTAGTACTGCAAGCGCCAACTGATAGTAGAACTGATTCGAATGTATAATCACATTTTCTGGCGAACATATATGCACCTTTTGCGTCTGCTTGAAAAGAACGCTTTTTAAAACAGTCTTTTAGCCTTGAATGCTGAAGGTCAGGCAAAATTTGGTGTAAAGTTCTTTTGTCAGATGCATTTCAGTTAACAGTTTTAAAACAATAAAAGGAAATAGAACAAGTCTGCCACGGGGTTCAAAAAGATATTCATGTTGTATTCAAATACATTCCACAAAGCCGCTTTCACTCACACATTCGTCCTCCACATTTGGTTGGGTGGGAAAAATGTCTACGCGTATAACTTACTTCCCCAGACTGCGCATCAAGGTAAGCAATAATTTCTGGCTCCCGTGGGTTAAGAAACTGGCGGATGTGTCATCGACCGAGGGCGGACGAATGCCTGAGAAGGCACCACGTTTACGCGCATCTCGAATGGCCTTGGCTTTTCTTTGGAACACTGTAGTTCTGAGAAGCAGGCTATCTACCAAGCTATCTGCGCCTCTGTGGGCACTAAGGGCTCCAGCTAGATGCGATTTCACGACAATTTTGGATCACTTTTTCTTATATCTTACTGGG